ATTCCTGCTAAAGTTCTGACTATTCTAGCTTCATCCACAGAGAGATCAAAAAGAACAGGCCAGAGGGCCTTGGTCCTAGCCGAGAGGGAGCAGGTATTCCTTGAGGCTGGATGGATCCTGTGCTTACTCTAAAATACGGGATTCTTTGTACTGATTTCACTGCACACTGCATTAGGCTCAGGACTTGCACTTGAGGCCTGGTGCAGTCCTCACCTGGACAGGGAGCTCAGATGAACTTTCCCTCATCTGTTTGATTTGCAAATGAAGACCACCAGACAAAAGAGAAAGCCAGCAATGTTGAGGAGCAGGGCATATAAAGCCAATAGGCCGTATCATGCCTCTTGCCACACAGTTTGTAGCAGGAGAAGAGAGAAGCATGCCAAATCCACAGAGTAAAGTGTAGCTAGGCTTGCAGGAGGCAGGGGTCTGGAGGCCCATGATGGAGATGGCACATCTTCCAAATCCCTAACACCTGAGACCTATAGGCCCTGGGGGCTGGATCAAGTACTAGGCACTGCTTAGGACCCCGGTTCCTGGAAACCTATTACTAGATCACAGTTTTAGCATTCACTACAAAACAGCTGTGCTTCCAGCCAAGTGAGAATTACACACAAGCTGAGAGAAGAGCTCCCCAGTGGGCAGGTGACCTGCCATCTTCATCTCTGAGCTGAGGCTGACCACCACCTCAGGGAGAGCAGCTCTCTCCTGTGGGATTAGGACAGGGGCTCCCCTGACTTGTATGTGGGCCCCAGGCTGCCTTAACCTGGGACTTGATTTATTTCTGCCTAGGAAATAAGTTCCACCCTTCATGTGTGGAAATGTACCAGACACAGAGACAAAGTGATCAGAGAGGCACTAGGGGAAAAGGACCTTAAGGCCCCTTAGTCAACTGGAAAGAGAAACACATCCTGAATAGCCATTGCTATTCCTTATTCCTCTTGCCACCTCTGCTTTGACAAATGGATACAGTAGGGTTATGGGGAAATCCATCACTACCTGCTCAAATATTACTCTGCCTGTGACAAATTAAAGCTATATCAACAAGGTATTGATAAAGATCAAGTGCAGTGGACAGTGAGCCAGATCACCACCAGATGTAAATTGGTAAATCTCCACTGACATCACTGGGCCCAAATCCAGGTGGTATAAATCATTGTCCTTCCATTGAAGTTAATGGAGCAATATTGGTTGAGATGTTGGATGACAATCTAGCCCAATATTTTTGGGTTTGCTGGGTGGGGGCAGCTTTGAGCTATGTCTCAGCCTCACCAGGGTGGATGAGTCCCTGGCTGCTTTACCAGATTGTGAGTGAACCACCCAAACAATGGGTATTTCAAAATCACCTGGCACTCTTTCAACTATTTGGCAGGGAAACACAGGGCGTGTTACACCTCTCTGGAATTTCACTCAGCTTGCTGCTCCTCCCACCAGGCACCTGCTTCAGCCCTCCCACCCCTTTCCCTCCTACTTCCCTGATGTTTCTAGGTGCCACTTACACCACAGCAGGAGGTCTCTGGACAGCAGCCTCTTAGCCATGGCTGTGAAGGTTTCCCATTGGCATAACTATCTCAGAGTGATACTGTCCAGGGAGGACCAGAGGATGGAGCATTTCCAAAGGGCAGAGAACATCCTGCTGACTGTGTTAGAGGAAGTTAATGCCATCGATCCCAGGTTTCTAGTGGATTATTCGAGAAACCTGGAAGCCTTTGAATTTGCCCTCTGCTCCTCAGAGGATGAAGTGACTGTTGAGGTTCCCCTGTGGCTTAATGGCGATGACCTCTTGATGAAGGAGGGCTCAGGTCACTGGAGCCAGTCTGGAAGGGGTACCAGCAGACACTATCCAGTATCAGACTTCTGCTACTTAGGAGTGCCCAAGGAAGGAGCTGGCTTGGAAAACTGGACCAGTAAAGACGTATTCAGTACAGCAGACAGTGCTGAATGCAGTGGGTACATAGTCCCAGGCAAGGTTCTCAGACTCCTGAGGGAACTCATTGTTGCTGCCATTGTACACTGCAAGCACCAGTTCCTCATCCAACCAGGTATGTATGCCAACTGTATGTGTCCCCCTGCACCCTCTCCACATGTAGCAGGGGGGTGTTGTGGGTCTCTGAGTTTTGACCGAAGGCTTCCTTCTGTGTTTGTACTCCTGAGGCAAAGGGGGATGAGATGCAGATGCAGAGAGACACACAGGGATGTGAGGGGAGACACAGAGAGAGGAGGAGAAGTCAGGAGAACAGGAAGGATAGAAAGAGAGAAAAAGATAGAAGGTGGAAGTTGAAACCACTGATTACATGGAATGAGTTTGACGGACTTCAGCTCTGTATAAGTTGATAAACCAGGCAAAAGTGATAGATCTTACCTCAAAATGAACAATCCTGGACAGGCCAGACTCTGAACTTCTTCCTACTCCAGGGGAAAGTGACTATATTAATTCAGAATTGGCATCCCTGGGTACAGCAGTGTAGGCAGGCCCAGGCCTAAGCTGTGACCAGGACATACAGATCCCCTCTCCTATCAAGATGCAGCAGCTGGCTCATTAAGTAAGGTCCATATGGTCCATTTTGGAGGGGGTGGTGACATAAATAAGAGTTCCTGGATCCAGATGCCAATGGAATTGGCATCCTGTCCAGATTCCAAGCTGGTTATTTTCTGGGCACAGGAAAATAAGAGACCCTCACAGGGCTCAGCTAAAGAAGTCAGTGTCTTCCTTAAAGGCTGTTGTGGAGCACTGTTGGAACATGCTATCCTCAGTGTTTCACTCTTGAGTTGTCTGCATTTCAGTGGTGGTTAGGTGATTCCTGCAGAGCAGTTCTAGTCTAAATGGCTATGGGATTTTACAGGAGAAAAGGGCTAGCTATATTATCTTATCAAGGTTCAGGCCTGCATTGCAATAAAGTTGCTGAATGAAATCCTGACCTCTCTAAAGTGGAGGGGAACTTAATCACTACCTTCAGTAGAACCAGGGATTTCATCTGCTGTGACTCAAGATGGTGTAATGAGAGGTTATCAGGGCATCCTGACTGTGCTGATTTGCTGTGTAAGAGCTGTTAATTCCTGCCCCTCAATGGCCAGCTCCAAGCTGAACTGGGACTGATCTTGGTCTCAGCTATTGCCCTTCATGAATTCTGGATGGAAAACAGCACTGCTATCAGTCAGATAAAGGACTAGTGCTGATGTTAATCACAGGGAAGGCTTCTGATGTTCAGTTTTAGCCCCAAAACACTCTTAAAACACCACAGATTAATGAAAAATGGTATTTATCCAACAAACAACAAAAAGTCATATTATGGATTTTGGGCAGTAGTAAAAAGTTGACTTGTCACACAAAAGCCTCAGAAGAATCAATCTGTGATGACCAGGATTCAATTATGGAAAACAGCTTTCTGTTCATGTACTGTCATTGTGGTGCAGTTTAAACTAAGGTGAAGGTCATTTTCATGCACAGAAAAAAGTCAAAGCAAGATCCTATTTAGATAAGAATTTTGGGGATGACCTGAACAAATGTTTTCATCATGTTACATAAAAAGCAAAACCTCCATACAATTCATACAATATATAATAATTTTATATATATAAAAATGCCCCTCCCCCCATTTTGGTCACCTATATAGACCTTGACAATTGATAAAACAACAACATTAACCACCACAACCCAGAGGCCCAACCCAGAGGCCAGTGCACTGCTGAACTTTGTGCTCTATGCAAGGAGCTAGGGGTAGGGCCAGTTAAATGGGGTTGGGTGACTCAGCCAAGCACTAGATTTTGACCCAGAAAGTTCAGTCACTGGGAAAGGGGATATGGAGTGATGATCATACTATCCTTGTCCTCCATAACCACTAGAGAGGACTAGAAGGCTGTACTAGAGAGACAGTAATAAAGGTTGGACTGCTGGTGCAGAGGAGCCAGATTACAACCTGGATTATGGCTGCCTGTCTCTCTCTCCCTAATGCTACAGGGGATCCTAATTATCCCCTGCTATCCCCCAACTCCAGCTGGACTAAACTGAAAACACACAGATGCTGAGCTGACAAACACAAATCAACTCCAGTTTTTCCTTAAAAGGAGAATATGAATCTACTGGGACCTGTCTGACAGAGTCTGTGTTCTCTGTTGCAACTAATCTGTCTCCCTGGGTGTGATACCTGCCTTGTGAACAGTGGGTGGAAGTTAGTACCTACAGCACTGGGTGTGGAAGTCATTTTTGGCAGCTAGTTACGGTGCTGTGTTTTTAAAATATAAGCACAAGAAGGGGAAAAGCCAGCATATTTGCAACAGAGATCTCTAAACTAGGTAACTTTACTGCAGTGCATTTAGTGTGAGAGGTAAATAAAATCTAATAAAGGCAAGTAAAACAGTAAAATCAGCCTGGAGCCATTATACTTCCCTGCAGTGTCCTTTGAAGGATTTTTTAGAAGTAAAAACAGCTCCACACAACATCCTCATCATATTCACTACATGGGCCACATTCAACCTCCTGCCTGAAGCCTCCTTACCATGTCATCATCCTACAGGGTTTGATTTGAACCCCTCCACACCTAGCTTGTGCTAACTGCTAGCCAACTGTGTTTTCCCACTGGCAGCCCCAGTGCTGTCAAACCTGCTTTTCACTGTGTTGGCACATTAGGATTTGTTTTCTCTCACTGTATCTTTGTCAGGCTGTGAGAGAATCCAAGGTTCCAGCTTTCATAAGGGCTGTTATTAGGGTTCTGCTAGTTCTGGATGACATAGTACAAAATTGTAATGCAGGTATGTGTCAGTATGAAGTGTTGTGGGATGCTATGCTGGAAAACAGCAGGGTGAGAATATTCTCTCTCATTTCTGGAGTTTCCTGGATGTTGAATGACAATGCAGGAGAAATAATGAGACAGGGAGAAGTGATGCTAGCATGCCTTAGTGCTGGAGGTTTGGGGAAGCCATGTGAGATGGTACTAGTGGTACTAATGCCGTTCCACCCCTGTGCTGGAAATACATGCAGAGTTGTGCTGCAAAATAACTGGTCTTTTACGGCAGTTTTGCATCTTAAATAAAGAATCCCACTCCACTCAGTTGAAGGGGAGCTACAAACTCTCTGGCTCAGTCAGTGATATCCTGACTCCAGTTTTTTGCCCTTTTCTTTTGTTAGCTACAAATGTCCAACTCGGGATCCTTAAAATTCTGGTTTATTAGGTGGATTGAAACACTGTAATGAAGTTAAATCATAAACCTTGGGGCTGGTGTCCCCCCCAACATGCACACACACAGTAGTAAGCTACAAGAGTCGGGTATACCTATCTTACAAGTGCTGGAGTTTGCCGTCTATGGCCAGTCGAGGCTTCTTTCAGCGTGGTGTAATCCTCCAGAAGGGGGTCACCGGCTGGTCCTTCTGGGTGGACAGGTCGGGTGCTGGTCAAGTTGGAGATCAAGAGGGTGCCGCTGAGGGTCACTTTTCACTGCTTTCTTATCTGTCCTTGGCAGACTTTGGTGACTCCCCAGTTTTCAGGTTTGCCCAATCCAGGGGTCATTGACCCTCGTGGGACTTCCCCCCTCGGTGGCTACTGGATGGCATCTGTCAGCCCCAGGGGTCGTCCGCATGAACGTGCAGGTTTGGGAGTCCGTTGATGAATTTTGAATAGGGCTCTGGGAGCAGTCGATCTGGAGATATTCAGCCCAAAAGTTGGTCCCTGGCGTTGATTAACTCAGGCCAGGGCTTCTAGCCCTTGTCAGTGACGTTTAGAGATGTCCTGGTTGCTACATTGTCTTCTATTGATTGATCTGCAGTTTCCTTAGGTGTTAATTGCTGCCTGCTACTGTGTTACACATTCAATCATTGATTCACTCGCTCTTTCAGGGGCCCGCCTGATACAGGGAAGCGGAAGTTTGACTCCTGCCCTTGTTAACATTGTTACTAAACACATTTATAGTTGAAAGCTGAAAGGTGACGAGTATAAAATATAAGCTACAAATGTAATGCCATGGCACACAAATAGATAAAAATACCAAAATACAAGGGGAGATACAAAATGCACACATACAAATTTTAAAACACAATTCCTTATCTTAAAGTGAAAGAAAGAGGAAGGAAGAAAAGGTAGAAGAGGAAAAACATATTCAAAGAGGGGAGAGCAAATGCAGGCAAGAGGGAAAGGGGGCTTTCTTCTACACTTTAAATTAAAATTTCTTCAATTGGCTGGTGAATTTTTATTGAGTGGTAGGGTATACTTCAGCCTTATGGAACCCAAGATTTATGGGTGCTCTCAATCTCCCTTCTCCATAATGTGGAAGATCTTTTGGAAGTAACAAGAATTCCTATAGTTCTAGCTTAGCATTCAAGGGACAGGGAAATAGCCCCTGGCAATGGTTGCTACTGGAAAGAAGATCACTAGATGAAATTAAGAAATAGAGTTTTGCAATAAAGAGACAGACATCTTTGCTTTAATGCCTGTGAGACCAGTTTTCCTCCTTCAGGGTTCACATAGCTATTACCAAATTCTTGAGATGAAAGAACCATACCAAATTCTTGAGATGAAAGAACCCAAACTAATAGACAGACCTAGGCAACATTCTTTCAAAATTAAAGAAAAAAACCCCATTATTCATCCTGTTCTACCGATCAGTGTCAAAGGTCTCTTGAGCCTAGTGGCTTCTTGGGTGGGCTTGGCTAATTCATTCCAGTTGCTGTAGCCAAGATCACACCCGGGAGCGATGTCACTAGCATCACATCTGGCTGCCTTAGACTTCCCAGCCTGATTGACTAGGAACCTGTTTACAGTTGGTTCAACAGAGAACAGCTTTTGGCACAGCCCAGTGCCAAACTCAGTTTTATGCTTTTATCATTGTAGCACGGCACCTTTGCCACTTTGCACCAGGCTCTGCTTTTGTTCATAAGCAGGTTGAAGTTTCCATTGAAGTTTGTCACGAGAAGAAGGCATATGGCAAAGAAGGTATGACTTGCAGCACGAAGGGGGATCTTGCTTTATGTGATCTTCCTTTCTTACTGTTTGTTTCCACTGAGTAGAACCAGGGGGAGATTTTTAATCTTACCCTTTAAAAAAGAAAAGCAATACAGAGCGTTAGCTGGGCGTTAGGCAGGAGAACGAAGACAGAACTCTAACAATGGATGGGATAGACATCTAGGAGCAAACTAAGTGATCAAAAAGACATCTTGGAGATAGGCACAGTCAGACTGAAATGGTTTGATGGCATCTGGGGGAGAAGGGTTCCCTGCATGGGTGAGACTGCATAGAGAAGCAGAGGGGGGGGGGTGGACAGAAGGCTGTTCAGGCAGATGTGTGGGGAACTTGGAGAGGAACACAGAGAAGATCTGCGGACAGGAAGGCCTTGTTTGTCTCTGGGAGCAGCCCTGTTACGGCAGTCTGGGCCTGGCAGCTGTTATCATGGAGCTCCTCAGAGGGGACAAGGTAATTAATGGTTTAGATCAGTGGTTTCCTACAGGGCTCATCTAGTTTGGTGCAAACTGTGGCGTTTGGGCTGGTACCACCATACTGATCACTGCCCACCAGTGGCTGAACTGCAGCTTAGCCTCAAGGCAAAGAGGGAAAGGAAAGAGGTGCTTAGCATGAGTGAGGGAGAGGAAGGATAGTGAGGTCTATAAGAGGATCATTTTTAAATACATCTGCTTCCCATGCCCAGGTGACCTCAGTGCTGAGAGACTGAAGGAAGAAAGCATGCAGCTGCCTCTGCTAGTGTCCAGTGGTTGGAAGATTATCCAGTTCAACCTCATCCCAGTTGTGAAGAGAACACAGGCAAATCTTAAACTCAGCAGCAGCAGATGGAGAGAAAGAGGATTTCCAGAAGGCAGCCTGAGCAGAGTAACCCAAGGGGTGGACTTCATCCCTGCCACATATCATCACTGGAGGTAAACACCGCTCCAGCCACCTTCAATTTGCACATCTTCCTTAGCATCATGTGATTTCTTACCAGGTGAGAGACAGGGAGTTTACCTACCATAGAAAGCATCAGCTAGGATCCAGCCTTATCGCTTTGTAGAATTCAACCCAACTAGCTGGAACAGGGAGGGAAGCATTTGTTTCTGTACGTTCTGGTGATTCCACCCCTCATCTCCACCTCCCCTCTGCCCCCCATTTTATTTGAAACTTCAGTGAAAATTTTTATCAAAGTCTTGAGACCTTTTGATCGGCCATTGATGGTGACTGAACTGAAAAGCAGCCTTCATCAGCAAGATTAATCACAATGAAATGAAGACTCTGCCATGGATGTGGCCTAGAATGGAGCTCAGCCCTCTGATTAATTCATCTGCAAAGCAATGCTGGCCCCTGCTGGGATTTTAGGCCCTGATTTTAGGGTGTGTTTAGGTGTCCAACTCCCTCCAAAATCAAACAAAGCTCTGGCCCTAAATACTTTTAAACATTAGATCTTTGTTCCATAGCTAAGGGTTGATCTGTAGAGTTCGTCCTGGCCACAGCAGGCAATTCCACAGGACTAAGGGGAGTTTCTGGCCTCCAGTTAAGCATGTGCTGAATCCACCAGCTTTTTCTGCCTTGAGCAGCTCTAGGCGGCAAGCATCCAGGAGAAGCCCAGCTGTGCAAATGGTGCCAATTTAGAATCAGAAGCAAGTGCTATTTTTAAATCTTAATTGCCATGTTCTTAAAACAGGAAAGTACAAGGTGTGACTGCACGGCAGGAAACAGCATGGACTAGGGGAGCGCACGGATTCTGTTCCTGCTTGGCCCAGGTGTGGTGTGGGGAGAAGACTTCTGCCTTGGCTCTACAGGGCAAACCCTGCCCTGTCTGCTATTAATATATTGTGAGGTAAATACAGGGCCACGCCCTGCTGTGAGCAGAAGTCTCTTGTTCAGAGGGAGTCTGTTTCCTCACCAGCCCCCCGGTCATAAGGTTAAAGAGACAATTTGGAGGACAGAAGGCCTGCAGGCTTGCTCCACTGCCAGTGGGATTGCTGCAACTCCAAAGCTGCAGTCCTGTTTTGGGAGAGGGAATGGCTGGGAGGAGTTTGTACATTAAAAACAAGAGGGCATTGCTCATCTACAGGGGGATCCTCTCACTGATGGCCATTGCCAGCCCAGCAGCTGAGGGCTTTCTTACAGAGCTGACAGCAAAGAGAAGGGACCCTCTGATTGCTGTAGTATAATTAAAGAGGTGGAGGTGGGGGGCAACCAGGGCACCAGCCCTGGGTTTCAAATTATTGGGGGGGCTCAAAAATAGCAGCCGCTGCTTTTCTGACTGCTGTGCTACTGCCATCAGCCTGGCTGTGGCCAATGCCTTGTGTGCTGCCACCAGCCAAGGTACATCTCAGCCCAGTTATACCTCTGCTACACTGAGCCATTAGTCCCATTCCATCTCCTCAGCTGTCACAGGGAGTTCACCTCTCAGACTGGGCTTTCAGAGACTCATTGTCATCTCTTGATCTTAGCCCCCAGTGCCCCATTTTGGGACATAAGGTCTGACATTCCACAATAGGGAAGATGTGAAGCTGGTCTCCACAGAGAACGCCACCCCCCGCACTTGGCTGTCCCAGACCAGGCTGGATCATCCGGGGTGGGTAGGAAGTGAGCTCATGAATGGGCTTGCAGTTCTGGATGGCTTCAGCCAGGAATGAACCCCCAGGCCCAGACCTTCCCAGGTCCAAGGGAGTTAGGTGCCTGAATCCTCTGGAAGACCTGAGCCCTGGTTGCCTCTGAACCTCTTTAAGTCACTTGCAGGCTCTGAAACATGTGATGCCCTTGCTTCAGGGGAGGAACAGGTGGTGCCTCCCAGAAGGAGAGGGCAGGCAAAAACTGAGGGAGGTGGACAGGCAAGGATGTCTCACCACAGCAGATATGAGAGGTGATAGATGGAACAGCTGCACCCAGAGCTCAGGAGGCACATCTCAGTCTCATAACTAGTGAGCAGAGAGAACCAGCCATAGAGCACAGGCTGCATCTCAAACCGATCTAGTTGTACCTCATCTGGGGTGAAACTGGGCCTTTTGCATCACATTCATGGTGATGCAAGCAGCATGTACCCCCAGACTCAGTGCTGCTGCCCCTCTTCAGCATCAAGGATCCAAGTCATAACTCTATCTACGCCTGCCTGCCCCTTTCATTCCCAGGGGATCCACTCAGTGCTTGCTCCCCACTTCCCCCAGAACAGAACAGGGCCTGTGATTGAAGGGAACCCTTATAAAGGCCCTCATCACTGGCTCACATATGCACAGACATAATCCAGCCTTTTGGGAGGACAGGAGAGTGAGGGTGGTCAGGGAATTATGGAACTGAAGACTCTTCCAAGTTCCGTTTATGATATGTTTCATACTTAATGCTTCCCTCAGAGAGGATATGGCTCTCGGCTTCTGGAGCTGATACTGATTTTGGCCCTCACACATTGTACACACTTGTAAGACCCAATTGAACGATAATGTTCAGAAATGGGCTCTATATTTGGGTGCCTCTGCTTTTAAGAGTGGGCCCCTGGAATTGGTGGCCCCTTAAGAAATGTTGGAGGAGCTCTTGGGGGACTTGCCCAAGGCCAAAGATGTTTCTACCGGTGCCATCTTCCTTCACATTGGCTTCTCGATTTTTCCCTGCCATCTCTGATCTCCTGGCTTTGTGGTTACAAAGGTGCCATTTTAATTAGATTCCCTTGATTTAGCCCTTCATTCACGGTAATGCTGATTCAGCCCAGACCATCTCTGGAAAGCCCTGAAAAAGCACCAAGGTTTTCAGCTGTGGGTAATGTTTGTTTTACCAGGTACTCCACTAATCGTCCTGTTGTGAGACTGCTCCACATCATGGGCACTATGGAAGGTCACCGTTTAGACAGCCTCCGCCTTCTGGACCAGGTCAACAGTGAAGACTGGAGAGAAGAAGGCAAGAAGAGAGGACTCTCATTCAAGCATTTGGAGGTACATTCCTCAAGGAGATGGTACAAGGGCACTGTCCTTGTAAGCAGATATATCCTGAACTACATTATGGTGGGGAAGCAAAGCTAGTTTTAGGCTCATGCGCCCAAATTCTCTAAGATATTTGGGCACTAAAATCAAGGGGAGGTAGGTATTTGAATATCTCTGAGGTTCTGGGAACTGGTTTCTGCTGAAAGAAAATCTCAGATGCTCTTTAACTCAGATACTTACAGGCCTCTAAAATACAAAAATATTCCTCGCCTGTGAAATATGAGACAGTCTTAGTGGAGGAACAGCACGTGCTTCCTAGAAAGAAACATTGTCAGCAGAAATAGAGCTAAGGGGATGGATGGAAGATTAAATTGTTCTTGGTGCAATCTAGCTGGAAATGTGTGTGGTTATGTGAAGTGTGGTACCTCTATCTTAGAACAGGTGGCCACAGCAACTGAGGTATATCTGAATACTGTATGGCACTCTCTTGTGGCCATGAGAGCATGTGCACACCATAATTCTCTCAAGGTTAATGGTAATTCTTGTTTAGCTCAAGTGACAGAAGCCTATGTTTCTAGCCTGAAAGGTTCTGTGTTGGGTTCTCTATACTGTGTGCGTGATGACTAGCCCATGAAGAATTGAAGGAGGAACCTCCAGAGGTAAAAGTTCGAGCTCCTATGCCTTGACATAATGCACCAAAGGTTCTTGTGTTAGAGGCTGTAATGTCCTCTGTAGGTTGGCACACACTCACCATGGGGTCCAATACAGGTTGGACCTGGCTGGTGACTGGTTGTGGATCCATTATAAGAGAGCCTCACTACAACAACTTTACATGTTGCTTTGTTCACCAAGCCCCAACATGCTATTATGGGTTTGCACACTGCAGGAGGGTTATGCTTTGTAGTTTGGGCAAACTTCACCTCTCAACATTCCACCGAAGGAAACATGGAGCTACTGAACCTGTTTGTTTTATAACCTGGGCAGGTGCCAACTGCAAATGTCAATGCTGGGGATGCTGTGCTTGTGACAGTAGCATGTTTATTCCTTCGCATGTGCTTCATTTAGCAGTGCCTCAACCAAGGAGTAGACCAGTATAAAACTTTCCTAGGGAAACTTCCCTCCTTCCCAAATATATATTTGGGTTGATAAAAACAGTTGACAAATACAGGCAAAAAAAAAAGTGAGAGAAAACTTGAAAAATTTAAATGATTTATTCCAAATTCAGTGTGTTATTTCAAAATGGCATTTCTTCCAAAATATACCTTTAAAAAGGGGGGAAAGACCCTTTCTCCCCCCCAAAAAAATGAACTTTTAAAATTTAGCTTGGATGAACCCAAAGCAAAAATATTTGTGTCTCCTCTTCACCTCCCCCTCCCCTCCGCAGCCTTTTGTTTCAATGGAAAAGCAATGCCTTTGCATTCCAGATTGCCCTGAAGCAACTGTTTCCCCCCAATTTTGTGGTTTGTTCCCTGAAGAGAAAATCTATTAGTTGCACAGTTCTAGCGAGGAAGTGTCATGTTCCCTTTTGCATTTTTAATAAATCCAGAACCAGAGTGCAGGATAATAGGAGTTTCTCCTTTCTCTGTGAACCTGGTCAGCCTGGGTGTTAAGGGAGCTGATTTTGGGTAGCATTGGCCTTTATGGCTTGTATATGTTTCATGTTACCACTTGGTGCCAGAAAGTGCTATCTATCCTGCTAGATGCTCCATGTCTCAGTATCCCAGCTGTGTTATACTGATTAAAAGCAGAAGACTGTTACTAAAGGATTAACATAAATCCTTGATGACTGGCATAGAAGAGAGGACATAAGCAGATGGAGGGCATAATGGGGTCATGTATCTGTAACAGGGTGGTCTGTCCTTTTAAGAGGGAACAATTAGCCCTGTTGAGGAGCCCAGTTATGGGGCATTTGGATAATGAAGGAGGGTTATATTTGGAGTTGAAGACTCCAGAACTGAGAGTGGATAGACAGCAAACTGTGAGGGAGAAGTTTGTAAGGGGGAAGGAAGCAGGATGAATTGAACAGCTTGCTGCACGGAGGGGCTAGGCTGCTGTGCTGGGGCTAGAGCAAAAGAGGGTCCCTTCCCAGAATCTGGGACAGGACAGTAGGATTTTGTTTTGCTTATTTTCTTTGTTTAAAAGACTGTGTTTTACTCGGGAGGACAAGTTGAGAAGCTCCTTAAGGAACAAAATCTGCCTGCAAAAGCCAGCAGGCCAGGCAACCTGCTTACAGTATCCATGCTTACCTGCATCTGTGCTATAGCTGTATTGCAGAATCCAAGCTCTCATTTAACCAAATCACTGCAAAGAGAACTATCAGGATGTGAATTGAGCTAACTGATGTGGAGATATTGGCTTGGCTCTGGCAGTAGTCTAACACAATAGCTATGAGGGGCTGAGCAGCCCCATTCATGTTACTGGGATGTTAACAAAGGTCTGGTGACAAGTTAAATCTCCATCTGAAGTGCTCAGTTACCACAGTTATGCATGTACACATGGCTCAGATTTTCAAAGTTGCCTGAGGGGTCAGAGCATCTGATTCCCTGTAACTGTAATAGGCATCTTAAGCTTTGAACATCTTTCCAGATCTATGTCGCCCATCCCAGTGGTTTGTATATTCCATCTTCTTACTCTCTGCCTCACCCAGATGGTGTTGCTGTGGGCCACGAAGCTGTTCCCTTCCCCTGAGGACTGGGAAGAACTAGAAGGATCCATCTATCGGCTCCTTGTGATCCTCCTTTGTAGCTTGGCAACCAAAAACCTACCCCACTTCCTGCGTCCTGAGGAAAACCTCTTCCAAGAAGAGGACCTAGACCTGACCACCTTATACCACAAGGTGGAGGGGTTTGCCAGTACCCCACAGCGGTTCCTCAAGTTCCATTTCACTCCCATGGGGCATAACAACCTTCAGCAGAAGGATATGGGCATCCAGGCCTTGCTGCAGCTCCCAGCTAAGAACAGCAGCTACTGGGACACTGCCTTCTTCGATGTCCTGCTTAGTAAGGTAATCGGGAATCACAGTTTGGGAGATCCAAGAGCTTGAACACTGAGGCCTGGATTGTGCAGTGTAAACTGGGCACAGTGGAAGGGGACTGACAGGGAGATCAGGAAAGTATCTGATTTTCTATACAGCCCCACGTACAAGCTAGAGCAGGTGGTGTAATTTGTGCCAGGTGGCTATGACCCCCAAAGGAGCTGCCACCCTCTGGGGACTGTCTCTTGTGGGGTTGGAGTGGACTATATCATGATCAGTTGGGTTCAACCAAAGCAGGCAGAATTCCAGAAATTCCCTTTCATTCAACCAGATCCTACTCTTTCCATGTTATTCAGGTTCAGGTCTACCGGATCCAGGACAAACAGAGGCTC